ACTTCACTGAACAATTTTGATACGTTTTTTGCACCAACCACTTATCATTTAACATGGCGATATTAATCCGCGGTCCTTCATTTGGGTCTTTGCTAATAGTTTTGTATGCAGTGACCATGGTATGCTTACTTTATGAGGGAACAAGAAGTACAGAGCGGTTCAAGAAAGATACCCCCGCTATCAGACCCATACGGCAACGCAAGATTATCCTTGCTTTCAACTGGTGGGAACAGTTAACAATGGCATCAAATAATCTTCTTGGCCTCACAGCTTTGGCAGCTTATGGAGGAAGACAGGTTGTTGTTCCCTTTGTCGAAAATTCGCGTTTCATTGGAACAGCGACCAACAATAACAAAACGCTCGCTTTCTATTACAATCTGAAAGCGTTGAATAACAAGCTCCGTTCTCATGGCCACGCAACACTTATAAACTGGGAGGGATTTCAAGATGTCTGCAAAGCAAGACTTGACTTGTTGGTTTACATTGATTACCCAGATCTTAAGGTGACTACCAACTATAGCCGTTCCGCACCGTTTTATAGTTGTAATGATCGCCATAAGACCATGTTTAAAGGCTTTAATATTGGAAAAACGATTTGTATGGATGCTTCTCTTGATTCGGTTCGGAGGTTTGAAAACGAAGTTGTTAAGGGGCTTCCTTGTGTTGGAATTTTTCAGTGGCGTGGAATTGGCAACTGGCATAGCTCTGGTAGAGCTCGTTTTGACACTTCGCATGCTGTGAGAAACATACTGTGTTATCAAAATATCAGTTCTCTTTTTAGTTTCAAACTCCATCATATTGCTGAAAATTTCGTTGCAAAACATCTTGGTGGGTTCTTTGTCTCTGTGCATATCCGCACCGAATGGCTTTTAAAGAAAGGATTAAATATTTCCGATTTAGTGAAATGCATTTCTTTCTTGAGTGCTCGCGTTCAGTCAATAAGAGACAAAATAGGTAGGGCCACCCCTGTTTTTCTGGCCGCTGATTTTGCAGAGTTTGGTTCTTCAAGTTACAAAATATTACCCGTGCGGAAGCGTAGTGAGTCACTAAAGAAGATTGTAGCCGCTTTGAAACCGATTGCCTTTAATCCTTCAGAGTTTAAACTTGCTGATCGTGGTGCAATAGCTATTGTGGAAATGGAGATTCTCGCTTCTGGAAATCGCTTAGTTGTGCTTGGTGGAGGAACATTCCAATCTTCGATCGTAGACCAGTTCCTTAAAAAGCGGAATACTAATGCATGGAAAGTAGACAGACTCAGCTGCCAATCTCTTACCGGTAGTCGGCATGTTTGTAATTGATATTGAATTGATATTCGCAATAAAAAACGCTGCGATGTTTTCTGGGCTAATCCTCAACAATTATTCCTCGAGCCCGAATGGGCTCTGAGTCAATAGCCCATGATGCCGAAGGCCGAATGGGCTATTGACTCAGAGGCCATGAGGGCGAGAGGAATAATTGTTTTAGTAAAATCCAACTAGTTGGTCAAAAATATGGAGACAAAACAACTTTAGCTAGACTTTAATCCTTTTTTGCCGCCAAAAAAGCCGGCGGGGCTTTTCGTTACTAGTGGGCTATAACATATAGCCTAGTAGTAGCTCAACCATATCAGAACACAGCATTGATAATAGACCACTAGTTGGATTTTTACTAATAAGAGAGATATATATCAATGCCTAGAAAAAAGTTTCTATGCGATTTTGAAACCATTTCAGTGACATTAGATCCTCGTGGTATAAATAGACGTGATGAACTTAATCAGTGACATTTATCCTTTTTATCTATTTTATC